GTTTTCTCCTTCTATCCTGTCAAACTTCCATCGTCCTTATCTCTCCATCTCCTTCTTTTTGTGTTACTTGTTCTCGTGTGACGCCTCTAATCTTCGGCACTTATATCACCTTATTGTGTTACCACTGCCGTGATACGTTTATTAAAACGAATAATTACCGAGAGATCCGAATATCTCAGCGTGAAAGGTTGTCACCCCCCCCCCCCCCGAAACCAAACTCAACAAAACTTTTTAGGGTACTATGCGTTGTCCACTAACGCGCTCATACAAGGTTGCGCAACTCCCCCGCCCGTGTGGCGCTACTCATATGCCATAACTTCTCTTCCGTCTGGAATACGCCTGTTCTTCGTAAACCAAATAGCATGAAATGAAATGGGAAAGGTTTGACGTCCCTATCAACACTGTTGAGTTATTGAAGAGGCAAGCCCTCTGAGTTATACGTCCATCTCCGAAAGGACCGAGCCAAACGGGAATTTCGTGTAAAGTGTTTTTTTCTAAGCACACAACGTCGAACCGAGCTGAGGCTCGAACCCCCGAACCAGCAGTCTCACGACCACGGACCAGGAAGCCCAACCACAAGGCCAACCGCCGACGCCCCCTCAAAATAAGTTGAGTTCTGTTCTTGTTCGTGGCTTGCAGTCGTTGAAAGGTCGATATGACTTCTATAAAAAGACTAAGACCCACGCTCCAACACCCCCCCCCCCAATCCATTTCTCCCAGTGTGATTCTTGTCGTTGAAATAACGCAGTAATTGTGTGAACGTGAACGGTAGGGCGTCAACCCTTATTTTTAAAAAAGTAACCATGGCGACCACTCTAAGTGTGGGTGTTTGCGTGGCGCCTCTTGTAACCCTTATTTCTTTTCTCTTCACCTATTGTTTCTGCATGTTTATCTTTTACTTTCCCCTACATCTAATGAAGGTTATCCTGTCGATGCCCTACGCTTTATTTTAACAAATCTTGCTTTCTCGGCGCACTATTTTGCCGTCGTCTTGTCGATGCACTTTCAATGGGAGTCACGTATCGTAGCGCCCACTGTACACTGTACTATTGAGGACTGGCGCTTCCTAAATACTAATCCCAATCTCACCATATCAGAGAATAATGTCCTCATTTCGGAATGTATCGTTGACGCAAAAAATGAAGATTCCGCAAAGAGACAGGAAAGATAGTTGCTCTCCTCGTGGTTCAATGCAGCAGATGAAGATAGTACTGTTATTGATATTAACAAATTGTTGTATTCAGAAAACAAAGGACACGTTTGTTGATTATGCCGATGAATAACCTACCGGCCTCCGGAGAACTAAAAAAGAAAATGATTTTTTAAAGCTCAAACCACATCCTACGAGTAAATATAGAATAAAACAGATGGAGCTGGCTAACAAACTAAGCTCAACTCATTGTACTGTCCAGATATCTGTGGGTGGTTGGCGGGTGCTCTGATGGGGTTTGTTCCTTCTTTTCCATTAAACATCTATCCTCTTTATCTCACCTTTTTTTTTCCTTTGGATGTACTCTTGTACAACACCTATAGTCTTGGGCACATGTATAATCCAGTTGTGTTGCTTGTGCCGTAAAACGCTTTCTAAAATTAAAACTAAACCAGATGCGACATTTATTGTTTTGATTTGAGCTGTCAATTAGAAAAATCGACTGATCTTGGCCTCTGCCCGAGCATGTATGAAAAGAACTCTCCGCTCAATCTCCGCCCGACGGGGAAATTACTGAGAGGAGATGTAGTGCACATCCATGTTTGACACAAGGCTGGGCAGGGCTGAGCGTGACGTGAGTGAGTTTAAAGTAGGTCTTCACCTCACCCGGTCCATGCGTTCTCATCTCTTTATTTAGCTCTTAGCTTCTTCACGTATCGTGACGTGTCGAGGGGGGGGGGTCGAAGTTATTATTTTCCTGTCGAAGGTTACGTGCGTGACTTTATAGTGCGGTCAAAAATTCGTGGCACAACTTGTCCTGAAATACCTCTTTAACGAGTGAATCGATGTCGCCCATACTTGACACAGCTATTTGTATCAATTTGTCTTAACCTAATCATATTTTTCCACAACGATTGAGGCTAGATTAAAAAACTTTTCTTCCTAAATTTATAAAGAAAATACTACAAGTCTCTTTCACTTTCACGCGGAAAATACAGTTGTTCACAGCACTTCCCGATTCTCACACACATTTTGTATACGCATATGGCCTACGTCACAGCTGAACAATGACACTTTTTAGTGGTAAAACTAGTTACAAGAAATCAATTTTATAGTTTACACTTTTTTGCACTAAAAGTTCTCAGAATACGCGTTCAATAAAGATAATATTGCGATTAGAAAAACGTGACGGAATTTCTATTAAAAGCAATATTGCCGCAGCTGTGAACCTTTTAAAATCAGTAGAAAACACCTAGATCTAGTAAGATTTTAAATTAGTATTTATTAAGGAACTTTCTAGTTGCGCCACGAATTTTTGACCGCACTATAAGTTTTAAATACCTGAATAATTATGTTAATCTGTTTTAGGATCTTTTTGACGCCATCTAGCCAAGGTTTTCGTAATCTAACACAGGCCTTGCAGTACGTTACAGCCTGATTCTCTTGTGTTGTGCCAAATGGTTGATTTTTCTTTTTTTAAATACTTTTTTTCTTTTTTTGTGGGGGGGGGGTAGCACATTCTCACCAACTGACCGAACAAATTAGTTCTTTTAAATGTGTATACGTATCAACATATTGTATAATATGAAGGATGACGTAGTCATTTATTTGAAATGTACTCCTACGCACAGCCAATGAACGTCAAAACACAGCGCGTTCAGTCAGCACGTATTGGTTTCATTCTGACAGCGGCAGAAACTTTTTTTTATTTTCTAATGGCACGTAAAGGGTCCTTTCAAAGTTGAAATTCCAATCTCTTCGTAAACTCTGTCTCTTTGTTTTCGCCTCACACTTTTGCCTTTCTTTTCTGTGCTTGTTTGTGTGGGGTTTTGCTTGATGTATAATAATCAAGGGGTTCTCAAATAGAGCATCGTGTGACTGATAGAAGCCCTCTCTTGCACAGCAGAACTATGGCCAAACTATTCCGTGCGCTGCTAATTTTGTTCTTATTGTTATTATAGTTATCATTATGATATATCATGGTTATTTTTATAGACAAACGTTTAGGTCACGAATGTTATATAAATATTTCATATATGGGTTTTTTTGGCAGATGCTTAAACTTTACTTTTTTTTCTTTTTATTTGTTTGTATTATATTATATTCCCACATTCAAAAGTGATTATTTCTCTCCTGGCCCGCTCCAGGGAATAGGAGACCACACAGAGACTGTCTTTGAACCAACACCAAACTACTCTTAAGTTCTTCCCCTATGATGCATTAATTTGTCTATCTGTCTCTGTCAACTGGATTTCTGCCAGACGTATTTACATAATGTCTAGTCTTATCTATGTCCCCGAGTTCAAACTGTAGCAGTTTTTAGGTGGTTTTTAATCGTGGCGTGGGTTGAATCTCAAGGGACTCGGTCCTAGACTATTCCTTAACAGGCTATCAAACATCATTCTGGTGTCTTGTGTCGTCATTTCACTTGCAAACGTACGTCGGGGAAAGTTCGTTTTTGGCCGTTTTGTTTTTGTTTGTTTGCTTGGGGGGGTTTTTCCTCGGCCATGCGGAGCTTTTCTAAGCCCTATCATGTTTGTACGTATTCATCAACCGATTCTGTGGGATAAGAAACCTGATAGTATCGGTCTCTAGTCATGTTTTGTCGGAGTCCTAGTGACTGGTTAATATGTCAGATCCGCCATAATAAAAGACTTGCGTCTCGGGGAATGATACTCCGCTGTAATTTCCGCTATTTTCACAGCTGCCAATGGGTACTTGACAAGCAGCGGAGACGGACATATGTAAATGATAGCGTTTTAGAGCACGCTACCTCCTCCATCTGCTCCCTCCGGGGGACTGAGATGGTAAATTACAGTGAACCGGACGGCCAACAGAGTGATAGTCAAAGTTGTGTTAGGAAGCTTCAGATGGCAAGGACATGAGACTGTAATCTACTTGTAGTTTAAGATTTTTCCTCCGAGGAACTTTGCCGTAATCCTTTCGTGCTGTTAGAGGTGTTTTGTTTGTTCTCAATTCCTGGGTTCTGTGGGTGTTTTGGTTTTGGTTTTGTTTGGGTTTTTTTGTTTGGGTTTTTTTGTTTGTTTTTTATCATAAGCCCTTTACGCCCCGATCAACACATTTTAAATAATTTAGACTAAGGGACGGACGAGTCAGACTTTTCCTTTCAGGGCCAAACGGGGCTGAGTTTATACCTTATGCAGTTGCGAGCGCCATAAAACCTCTACAGTTACTTTGATCATTAAAATCTTTTTGAAAAAGAATTTCTTTGTGAAAAATAGAAGTTGGTGCTTCGTAGTGTTCCGAAATCAAGGTTATCCTAAACCTTGAAGATGTTCAGAGCCAACCCGGTAACCACCGGGAAAAAATCACAACATTAGAAAGTAAGTAATTGGGTTCGGAGTCGATTCCTACGATTCCTCCTAGCTTTCAATAATTGGGAACCTAGCCGCCCAGCATTACCTTCATTAAAACTAAGACTGAGTGGATACAACAGTATACAGATGAAGATGCTTGATAGAAAAAGAAACTTTCTTACTCGGGATTCGAGTACACTGAAACCACCGGTGTGTGTAGTTTGCAGTTACTTACGTCATTTTTCGGAGGAGCTTCCTGCTAACCTTTTTAGATTGACATAAAATGCAGGGGTGTGCAAAATAATGTACAGTAAATATCTCACCACGTAATTCATTAGGCTTCAATGATGATGATGATGATGATGATGATGATGATGATGATGATGATGATGATGATGATGAGAAGGAGGAGGAGGAGGATGATGGTGATGGTGGTGGTGGTGATGATAATGATGATGATGATGAGAAGAAGGAGGAGAAGATGATGATGATAATGATGATGATGATGATGATGATCTTGTATCTCCCGCCAGGAGGAGCTAGGAGATGTACAGGAGAGCCTGCAGGAGTCTCGCCGAGCCGAGGGCAGGAGCCGGGAGGCTTTGAAGGCTGCGGAGGCCACCATGTCTGGGAGAGAGGCCGAGGAGATGGCGGACAGAGTCCATCAGGTGGGTGCCTGTGTGTGTATAATTTGTCTGTGTGTGTTTGTGTGTATGTGTGTGTGTGTTTGTATGTTTGTGTGTGTTTGTTTTTTGTGTTTGTGTGTTTGTATGTTTGTGTGTGTTTGTATGGTTGTGTGTGTGTTTATATGTTTGTGTGTGTGTGTGTGTGTGTGTTTGCGCTCGAGAGAGAGAAAGAGAGAGAGAGAGAGAGGGGTGGGGAGAGAGAAGGGAATGGAGAGAGAAAGGGAGAGAGGTGGGGGATGCGGATGAGATGGCGGAGAGAGTCCATCAGGTGAGTTCCTGTA